CCTCCTCTCTCTCTCTCTCTCTCTCTTTCGTCCCTTTGTGCCAAAAGCAAATTTTAAGCGGATTATTAAAAAGTCAAAATTCTAACAAATCATGCTCTACGGGGAAGCAAAGTAATTTCTTGGCTTTAAAGGCTGCTCAGCTGATCCAAGTACTATAAATTTACAACCGAAAGAGCAAGCAATTCCTAGAGAGATTAGCTTTTCCGCTGTAAAAATGGACATTCAAATGCCAGCTTTGAGGATCGTATCGTGCAACTTACCATAGTAACAGCCCCATAAGAGCTGACCATTTTTGTGCGTTTTTGCATATATGCGAATTGCAAAAGCGGATACTGTAACGACCCTATCTGTGTATATGTGCGTGTGTGTTTGTCTGTCCAGATATTTCAAGTCGGTAATCAAACAACCTTCGGGTCCAAATTTTGCCAGTTGGTTCGCTGGCCAATTGCCATTCCAGGTCCGCGGTACCAACCTTCAAGTACGTCTCGGCCCGCATGCGAGAGCATGAAAATTTGGGAGAATTGCTAAATTGAGAACGAGAAAAGCTAGAAACTTTAGGGGAGTGTTCAACACTGATGTACGACCAAAAGCTTTCAACATCAGCTTCCTAAAACCACCCATGCTTTACGCACGGGCACATGAAATTTTTGACGGGGAAATTTCTAGCTGGGACATGGAAAAAGCAGGAAGACTGGAATTCTGAAGGAATGTTACTCAACTGCGACTAAAAGATTTCAAATTCAGCTTTTCTTGTGTGATCTTTGTTGCGCATCAGCAACCTTCCATTTCTTCAGCCGGCATCTACAACTGACACGTCACGTAGTTGCACACTTAACTTCCTGGACTTCGTGAGTCAATATATCACACACTCAAGCTACTGTGATCCTTTGCGATAGCAAGAAATAGTGCTACCCTATAATTACACCATTTCCCTCCTCACACTAATTCCTAATACTTCGACCTACTTCTCTCTTCTTACTAACTTCTAACAATTCACCAAATTCTAAATGCTTTTATATTATCTGCCTTCCCACTCACTAACTAACTTGCCCTCCTTTTCCCTCCAATAATCTTCCCATATAAAGACTTTCTAGATCCAAGCCCTCAGTTAGTTGGTGGAAGTCGACAGCCAAGGGTGCCATCCGACCGTCCAACGCTGCAAGCGTCTCGCCTCCCCATTGCCGGCGTTCTTCTGTTGCACAGCTTG